TTGCGGTCAACTGTCATAGAAAAATGCGAATATATAATATATATAAATTGTGATATCTAGTGATTTTAACCTGGATAACATGCAGTAACACAAATTTACATCTTAACATTTAGTAGATGTGTTTGAGGAAACGATGAAAATGTTTAAAATGTTCTGTAATGAGCTAAGAAATGTTTAGTAAATACTTGTTTGTTTTAGTGCAAAACTGCATAATAAGCTATCTGCGCTTTGTTTTAGAATTGTAAGTCATAACCTTACTGCTGAGTCACTGGGGGGGGGGGGGAACTTAGTAGATACAGTACGTAATCTTTCGCTTTATTGTTTGCTTGTTTTGAATTTTGTGCAAAGCTACACGAGGGGTATCTGCGCTAGTAGTGCTACTAATTTATTCTTGTAAATTATGCAACAGACAAGCTGTTTAATTTAGCAGTGTAAGACTAGAGGGAAGGCAGCTAGTCATCACCACCCACCGCCAACTCTTGGGCAACTCTTTTACCAACTAATAGTGGGATTCCCACCACATTTTAACGCCCCCACGGCTGAAAGGGCGAGCATGTTTGGTGTGACGAGGATTCGAACCCGCGACCCGCAGATTGCAAGTCGAGTTCCCTAACCACCTGGCGAGCCTTTTCACTTTATAGATTCTTGCGATGGTTAATTAGTCTAGAGACTATATTTGATAAACACCTTTTTCGTAATCAATCCTGTAAACTTATTTACAGATACAATTTCTGCCTTTCGAACTCACTTAAAAAAAAAAGGTAGAGAAAATCTGATATGATGGCTTAAACAGTGGTGCTTGATGTAAAACAACAAAAAGTAACCACATATTTAACTAGCATGTTGATTTTGTAAGCTAGTATTTTTCAAACTACAAATTCACATTAGAAATTTAATTTTTGCTAATTAGTTTCGACCTCACCATATAAAATGATTTACAGTATCTAATATCTGAAAATGGAGTAATAAGTAGAAAATACTTAAATGTTTATGCAGTTTAAAAGAAATCTGTTTCCATAGTTTTGTTATAAGTTTACTCCAAAAATAACATTGAATAAAATAAAACATAATTTTTGAAATGGGCATTAACATTAACTTAAAAATCCACGCCCTTATTTGGTAATACCATAGGCATAACATGTTAGTTGTTTTATCAAGAAACGATTATGCTGATCGATAAAAATGTTATCATATTGTATGCGTGGTGCTTATAGTTATATGTTACTCACCACAGTGAACTTATATTTATATAGGATTTGAGACATATGTAGTAGTGGTGCTACTAATTTATTCTTCTAAATTATGCAACAGACAAGCTGTTTAATGAACTGAAAATTATTTGTTTGTTTGTTGAATTTTTCGCAAAGCGACACGAGGGCTATTTGAGCTAGCTGTCCCTAATTTAGAAGTTATAGACTAGAGGGAAGGCAGCAAGTCAACACTACCTACCGTCAACTCTTGAACTACTCTTTACCAACGAAAAGTTGGATGGACTATCACTAACATTTTGTATAACTTCAAGTAGGTGGTCTTTATATTCTGGCACACTGCGTCTGGCCACTTGACTAGTATGTCTTCATATAAAATAGCATCAATAGCTGTTTCATTCTCCAGCTGCTTGAAGCATGCGACAGTTTAACGGATATGCTGTGGAAGCAACTTGTATACACATGAACTATGCCGCTTTTCGAGGCTGAGGTCATTTTTGATTATACTGCGCACTGTTGCCAGGGGCAAATGTACGACTTTTACCTCTGACGTTTTCCTTTGTGTATTCTCACCTGTTACAAGACGTCGCATTTTGCTTTTCATGGATAGGTACGACTTGTGGCAGGTCTCTTTCTAGATGGTCCTGGTGGCTCAAGTTGATCCATTTTTTTTCGTTTTCTAATGCCATTAAGTACAATGGATATCTCCGTTCTTGAAAATTATAATTCCCCGATCTAAACACATCTTTGTGACCTGAGTGAGAGTGAATGAATATTTTGTGTTGGAAAGGGATACCACGTACCATTCCCAAGCGCGATTATATTTCGGTGGCATCACACTACTTACATAACGCAAACAATGTCAACATATAGTTGTGATACATACAGTTATATCGGAATTTTACAACGGCTGTGGTTCTCCTAACTTGCTGGTTTGCACATTCAAAATATTTTTAATAGAACGTACTCAACCCATCTGCCGGTTACAATAAATATCTGTACCGGCAGATGAATTTCTCCTAAACGCTCTACTAACATTTCGTACACCTTCAAGTAGGTGGGTGTTGCTTTATATTCTGGCACATTGCTTTAAAATTATTGAGGCAATTACTAGTCAACTACCCAAGGTATACATGTAGTGAAAAAAAGAGCAACAACTCTGCATATAAACTTCAGAGCGTTGAGCTATAAATTACAAAAGTCTCTATAATTTTGGATGCGTGAAACGTTTTGTAATTTTTTGCTTGTTTCGTTAAGCCTTGTTTCAGTAATATAATTTTTATAAAAACAATATCGAACCGGATTCTCAACAGCAATTTATTGTAAAACATATATGGCAGGAGCATTTCTAATATTACTAACAGAAGTTCATTGTGACTGTAAGCTTCAGGGAAATTCCTCTGCATGCCACGTAGTAGCGAAATCTTATGAATGATTTATTAGTAACATGTGTACAAGAGTTATACATAGTATTAGGCTCTACAAGAAGAGATGAATAATTCATGAAGCAAAGCAGTCAAAACTAGAGCTATCATTATATCTATAGAATATATGTTATCAGGTAGCTTGTTGACGTCCAAATTTATGATTTCATGGAATGTACCATTCGTTTGGACAAACACAAACGTTCGTGGTTGTGTTGGAATTTCTTGAAGCCGTTGTTTTCGCGAACAACCGGCATTTCACCCGTTTTTTTTTATATTCACTACTGTGAGTTCTATAGCAAAGGCATAATGCTAAGTTACTCACAGTCGATAATAATCGGGTATACTTTCTGTTGAAGTATAGAGTCCTAGGATATTAGACTGAATTTATTAATACAGTTAATGTTTATTTATGAGCTAATCATCTTGAAAAATTTAACGAGTTTCATATAAATATTCTTATCCCTGCTCAACCAACCTAATGTGCATATTAAAAAGAGAGAGAGAGAGAGTAAAAGAAGGGCAAATTCAGTGTATTTGAAGGCAACTTTGCTTTACATCATTTGGTATCATTAAAATAATAAGTGATTAAAAGATACAATCGAGTCCGAAACAGAGTATTTCATTTAATTTATTCATCACACAACATACACTTTGAAATGTCGAAGTCGTGTGCCACGGAAGCAAGCAGTTTTACTCATTTAAATAACTATTTGATACTTTTCATATAATTAAAGCCTTATATTCTCAGATTCTTTTAACAAATTGGATTACAAATTATTCTTTGTTTTTTGGCTCAAGTATGGCTATCTCATGAGCACTTATAAGTCATAGTTATGTACACTGAGCAAATAAAGTTTCTATACAGCTTTGCAAAATACAAATAATTTAAAATATTTCAATCATAGATGATGATAGTTGTTTTCTGTTATAAGATGCTCAAATTACAATTCCTAGGGACATACAAATCAGATCGAAATCAAGCTGAAGTAATGCAGAAATGTAGTAATTACAATTTCTAGGGACATCCAAGTGAGATCGAAATAAAACTGAAGTAATGCAGAAATGTAGTAATTACAATTTCTAGGGACATCCAAGTGAGATCGAAATAAAACTGAAATAATGCAGAATATAGTAATTACAATTTCTAGGGACATCCAAGTGAGATCAAAATAAAACTGTAGTAATGCAGGAATATAGTAATTACAATTTCTAGGCACATCCAAGTGAGATCAAAATAAAACTGTAGTAATGCAGGAATATAGTAATTACAATTTCTAGGGACATCTAAGTCAGATAAAAATAAAACTGAAGTAATGCAGGGATGCAGTATATTCTTGCTGATCTTTCGATTTGTCTAGAATCTCTGAAACACAAATAATCAAAATTCTGTTAAATAACCTAATATTTTCATTGAAATACGAAGATAATATATTTAAACTACTCAGAAGTAATTTTACCATTTATACTAATACAATCGCTATCGTATGTGGGCAATCATTGATTTAGTTAGAATTTTGAATCATTTTTATGGAAGAATTTTAAAATATTTAATAAAACTTAAACCGTTATTTCTAAATAGGTTTGTTTGTTTATAGTTAAGCACAAAGCTGCACAATGAGCTACCTTTGCTCTGGCCACCACGGGTATCGAAAGCCGGTTTGTAGCGTTGTAAGTCCGCAGAAATACCGCTGTACCACTGGTGTGTGTATGTGGGGGGAGGGGGGTAAACGTGTTTTAAACGTAAGTGTAAGCATTAATTCATTAAAAACGTACAATAAGTTTGTAACAGAAAAGGAAAACAAAAACAAATATTTTTGTATAATAAAAAATGGGTTACGGTTACCATAACTTTACATATTACACCCCTAATTTCATCTTTTTTTCAAATCAAAATATTTAAAACTAGAGTTACAGTGAAAACTAAAATATGATAAAATTACATAAAAATTAGTTTGAAGTGTTCCCTTATTCAAAAGAGAAAACTTTTCAAACACGACTGGGCTCTGAAATGTTCTTGTTTATTAAAATACACGTTTAATAACTTGATGCTAATTTCATTGATAAACTATATAGCTATACAGTTGTTTTTTTCTAACAATGTACTTATATTTTTACATTAGTCTAATAGCAAAGGTTTGTTCTATCATAGATTTTTTAACTCACTACTCGTCAGTTAGTAAAACAACAACAAAAACAAACAAACATAGATTCTCAGTTGCGTTTCAATTATTGTTGGTGTTTAAATTTTCTGAAGAGGTAGAAACTGATGCAGAGTAGTCCCAGATTTATTTGCTTCAGTTAGTTTGCACCATTTATACCGGAAGGTGTGCTTTTTTCTAATAGTTTTAATTGCTTTTAACTTTAGTATCGCAGATGATCTGCAGAAGAAAAATAAGTAGACTCTAGCGGTCAATGTAGATGGCAGGAATAGGAACATGTCGAAACAGCTAATATGGGATGATGTCCAACTACAAATAGCCCGAAGACAGGAGGAAAATTTAATTCCCTTGAAAGAGGATTTGGCTGAATGGATTGACAGAACGTTAAGTAAGTTATACTTTACTTTCTCATTTACTAATTAGTTTTACTATTCTGAGCTGGAAAGTGTAAAAATCTGAGTGTTAGATGTACCTGGAACTTTTGACAGCTTCCAACACTCTGACGCAGTAAATTTATAAGACATTTACGGTTTTTATTCTTCTCTGTCTAAAGCTTTATTGGGTGACAAATGTCATTAACTTAGCTAATACCACTTATATCTTTTGAAACCGTAGTTCTCAAATTGGCATGAGTTTTGTTGTCCAACATTACAATAATCTAGTATGTTTTTATTTCAAGAAAAACAACATTGTTTTTTTTTTTTCGCTAGCGAAGTAAGCAATCATCAAAAGTTTTATCTTACAGAAATCATAATGCCGAAAGTACATATATTTGTAGTATAACATTTGATGTCATGTGATATGTTTTTGTTGAAGAAAGATCAAGCATGAAGAAAGTATTTTTGAATTGGTAAGATATAAACGAGAATTTAAAAGCTAAGATTTTTTATTGAATAAAATCTCCCCAATCCCCCCTGATGGATTGGCGGTAAGTTTGTGGGGTAATAACTACAGTCAAACAATAGTTAAGGCACTACAATTAATTCATATTAACCACGAAAAGATAATATTTGTTTAAGGCATTATTATAGTGTAAGCTACTAACTATTATTGTATCCATCCTTTTTACAATGAATCTTTACTCAAATAAAAAAACAAAAACAAAACAATGGTAAACTTCGACCATTATTGTACAGTACGTACTTTACAAAAACTAAACTGAGTTGAAACTGTGCATAGTCTATGCTACTGAAAACACTTAGTATAAACTAGATTTTAAAGCCCTATTAAACATCAACAAACAATGGTTTACCTAACTCAACATTATCTATGTTACGTTAAAGAAAACACCTAACTGAAACTTTTACAAAGTAAAAGGTATTGGTGCAAGTATTTACAACCTGAGCACATGGGCTGAATGGTCTAGGGTTAAGGTGTAGCTCGGCATAGCCGGGTGGTTAGAACGCTTGACTCGCAATCTGAGGGTCGCGGTTCGAATCCCCGTCCCACCAAACATGCTCGCCCTTTCAGCCGTGGGAGTCATAATATGACGGCCAGTCCCACTATTCGTTGGTAAAAGAGTAGCCCAAGAGTTGGCGGTGGGTGGTGATGACTTTCCTCTAGTCTTTTACTGCTAAATTAGGGACTGCTAGCGCAAAGAACCCTCGTGTAGCTTTGCGCGAAATTCAAAACAAACCAAACTAATTTTCAATTATTGACCAAAAGGATTCAACCAGTCAGTAGCACCCGCCGCCGCAAAGAGCTTTATCTCGCTCCTGAAATCGAATAACGGGATTTACTGTAACTTTTATAATGTTTCCACAACCGAAAGTTTAGCAGCATTATGGTTCGAACCTTGGACCTTCGCTAACATATAGGCCTGACAGAGCAAAAAGTCATTCAGATCGAACGAAATACTGAAGAGAAAGACAGAAGATTTTGTAATAATAAAGAAGCAGGAATTTGAAAAACTTAGCTAAATATTAAAATTAACGACCTGAAACACTGAATAAAGATAAACACTTTCTACAGTGAGTTCTGAAAACTTATTTATTGTAATATTATAGTATAGTTGACTCATAACTGTTTTCACTTTTTTAACGCATTTTATGGCCTAGTGCCAAGAAGATTGCCATGACTGAGATAATTAACACAATAAATTACAAAACAAAAGAGACCGACCATTGGCCTCGGTAAAACTCACCATCTTCTATTTTTCAAAATAACGCTGAATAAAATATTGCTCATTTGGGGCATTATGGGAAATGTCTAAAGATGATCCCTTGCAGTGTTATGCGTTCCTTTAAGGTCACTGGTGACTACATAGTAAACTCAGATGTTGGAAAATGGGAAGAGAGAGCGTTGAAAACGTTCTTAAATTGATCCGTTGCTTCAACAGATTTGTGTCCATAACTGTCAAAACATATTTATAGATAAAACTGAAAGATGAATTTTTAAGTATTAATTTCTAACAACAAACCGACTATCACTACTGCCTAGACAATTTATTCCTAACACGGGCCACAACCAGTTTGTCTTTCACCGCCCAATATGGCCTTGATTATCATTCTAATGTTTGGAAACTTTTCACGTGTGGCCAACTGGGGATTGGGGGCTGAAAATAGCCATTTGGGGAAATGATTGTTTGTTCTATGACTTTGATCGAATTATTCATAACCTTTATACGTCAAAATACCATAAAAGTCATTAGATAATTCTGGTTGTTACAACAGAATATCAAATAGAGAGATCAATTTCATCATTATAAACTTCCGACAGGATTCCACTAAAAGCAAACATATAGATAATTTGGATTTGCATATATTCGGAAACAATGCTTTAAAAGAGTCAATATTGGAGCAGTATCATAATCATTTTGTTCAGTATGACTTTTTGAGCATTCATAACTGGTTAGTAAAATGTATATATTACACTATATGTATTTTAAAACTCCGAAGAGGCAAATTTAAACTACTAAAAGGAACCAATTAGTAGTTTTTGCACAGTTAACAAAACACAAAAAAAAAGATCCACCAGAACTTTATATGAATGGAGCACTTCTTCAGACTGAAACATCAACTAAATTCCAAGGTTTGACATATGAATCAAAATTAACATGGATTGAACACACAAACAATATAAAACCAAAGTCTGGCAGCGCACGAACTATGCTAGGAGCCTAACAGGTAAAAATAGCGGAGCAACGGCAGAAAACATTCATAAGTCCAGTAATAGAATATGCATCACCAGCTTGGATAAATGTAGCACAAAGGCAAATTAAAAACAAATTACAAACACTACATTCTGAACGCATTACTTACAACAGGATACAGAGTACCTAGATCAAAATATGCAAATATAGAAACACTAACTGATAGACTCCTACATATTTCACTAAATTATTTCGCGAAGAATTGGCAAAAGAATGATCTATTATGCGAACCTGATCGTTTCTGCGTACATGATGAAAATAGTCCTAAGTACCTCTCCCCCATTAACATTTATAAAAGAAATAAAATGAAATTAAAACCACCTAATACTAGACATAAATATATCATTTGCACTGACAGCATTAAAAAAAGTAATATATGTGAATGCTCTCGCTGTAATTTAGAATTTTTCCAAAATGTAGAAAAATACAACTGGAACTGTTCGTTTAGTGTGGACTTTAGCACAATCGGATAAAGCAAGAGTGAATTTTAACACATTAATATAAATATAGTTATATACATGAACATGGCCCTGAAAGGGGTCAGAGTGAAAGCGTGGACTAGTTAAATTCTGACCTTCTTGTAGTAATTAAATCAATATCAAAAATATATCAACTATCAAGTGCCGGAGGGAGGAAGAGGTCAAAACGACCCTGACCTTCCTATATCTAAAATATTTAAAACCGATGCCGACCTGACCTGACTTTGAGGAACAGAAATAAGGAACAAATGGAATTTACGTTACACCACAGCAACAGAAAATTACGCAAATAGTGTCGAACAGCATTTATATGTAAATAGGGTTGAGTACGTTATGTTAATACGATTTTAGAGCCTCATTACGTCGTTACGGTCTATGTCACCACGTCCAGTCATGCTCTACCTGTCGACCATGCATTTTAGCCATGGCCCTGCAGCGTTGTTTCCATTGCAAAAGGCTCCGTCGTAAGGCTGTTATGTCCAATGCATACTACTCCTCCATATTTGATTTACATAATCTAGTATACGAGGGCGATGGTTTCCCAGTGCTAGTTTCAAGAGTCCCACCATAAAGAAATCCATAGGCGCTGCATCTGGCAACTTGGCCAATATGTCTTTTTATGAAATAGTAAGAATACTCGTTCTATTTTCCAGCTGCTTGAGGTATGCAATGGTTGAAAGAATATGTCATCGAAGCAACTTATGTACACGTGACTTATGTTGCTTTTCTAGATCTAGATCTTTCTTTATTGTATTGTGCACAGGCACGTGGACGGTTGTTTTCGCTCACTTTTGTATTCGTGTATTTCCACCTGTTATAAGACTCCGCACTTTGATTACCACGGCTAAGATACGTCTTGTTGCAGGTCTATTTCTGAGTGGTCCTTAAATCCCCAAGTTGATCCGTATTTCTTTATTTCCCTAAATCGTTTATATAAGGAATATCATCGTCGTGGGAAATTCTAAATTTCCGATTTGAACACATCTTTATGGTTTGGATGTATGGATATTTTGTGTCGGGCCCCTCAGTCTGCCGACTTATAACGCTAGAAACCGGGTTTAGATACCCGTGATGGGCAGAGCACAGATAGCCCATTGTGTATCTTTGTGCTTAACTATAAACAAACAAACAATTTTGTGTCGGAAAAATATATTACATACACGTGACACTAACAAACTAACTTTATAAACCTTTACACTTTTCTATTGGTTTATTTTGATTTCTGAGTAGATAATTGTTCATTAATTTTAGGTTAGACATTTGCAAAGTAGGCGTTCTATATTTCCTTTAACTTTAATGATATCAAACGAAATCACAATCGTAAACGACTACTCTAAGAAGTTCTAGGTATTGAGTCAATTTCGTTACTGATACAGGAATTCAAGATACCTTTAGGTAAATTTTGACAAATGTTTTAAAGGGCAGACTTAGTTGTTTCTTAATTCAGCACACTGAATGCAAGACTTGATTGTAAACGTAACGTATTTTTGCTACTTTTTGTAAACGAAACAATAAACTGTTGTATCTCGCAGTGATTACGAAAGGCGTGAAATTGGGTTAACCTTTTCTTCTATAGTAGCCATGCAGGACGATTTTCTTCGTGCGAAATGAGCATGCTGTTCCCTACTGTTTTCTCTGACAGCCTAGTTGAATAACAACTTCATTCCAATCACTACACTAAGGGGCATTTCCTGCTTTACTTCTAAGTATTGTTGTAGTTTAGTTGACACATTTATTATAAGAAAAACTTCTCTTTAAAAAGCATAAAAACATTTGTTTTGTAAAGAAATTATTTTTCTATTAAACGTAGGGTGAAATACACACAAATGAACCGAGTATTGTATGGTTTTTGACCCGTTTTACACTGGCTTTTTGAGGTACATTTTTTGAAACCTTTTTATTGAACTATCTAGTATAGGTTGATTTACAAATAGAATACATGTTTTTAATAATACATAAATAAACTACTTTCCTCCTCTTTGTACCATTTTTATACGTTGCAGTATGGCCCACTAATATTTATCTACTTTAAAGCTTGCACAATAAACATTTTGTGAATTGAACTGTATTTCATGATATATTTGTTTGTTATGAAGGATAAAGCTTCACAATGGGCTAGCTGTGCTGTTCTAACCAAGGGTATCAAAACCAAGTTTTTAGCACTTTAAGCGTTTTGATTTACTTATGAGCAACTGAGGGGTTTCATGACATGAGGAAATACAATGAAAGAAGGCTATTAATGTGAGCACTGAGGTAATGTTGCTTAAACGTTACTCTATTTCTTTCACATTTGCTATTCGCTGTGGTGCTTCTACGTATTCCAATATTTGATTAAACAGATCCCAAAAAATGTTCTGGAAAGATATTAGAAATATTTTGTATATCAAGATAACATCGTTTATTTTTTCTTACGAATAAAAACGTTTACTACAACGTTATAAACTTTTCTTTAAAATAATTATTTTCGCTATTGAATATACACCAATTGTTTGTCTTGCTCATTCAAATACATTGAAAAGAAGATTGCATGGATCGCAAAAATTATGGAACAAACTATATTTAGAAAAGTAGACTGCATGGATCGCAAAAATTATGGAATAGAATATATTTAGGAAAGAAGACTGCATAGATCGTAAAAATTATGGAATAGAATATATTTAGGAAAGAAGACTGCATAGATCGCAAAAATTATGGAATAGGATATATTTAGGAAAGAAGACTGCATAGATCGCAAAAATTATGGAACAGAATATATTTATATTTCTGAGTTCCTCAAGTGACATTCTTTGCCTTGCTTTATTAAAACTTAAAGTGAACTTATCTAAATTCAGAATCTTAATATGGTTTTGACTGCTTTAAATGCTTCTAGATAACTTATTTGTTAGAGTTGTTTTAGAAAAGTGTATTTTATTTTGTAAGTCAACGATGGTAAATTTTAAATTGGAATTGCACATGGATTACATAATTTGTTTTCATGTTCATTTGGCTATTCAGGCACTAAAGTACCAACTTCTATGCAATATTTTGTAAGTTATTCAATAACAATTTAATTTAGATTCATCCTATCATATATGAAAAAAAAGATGAAGGAATAAGTTTAAAAAAGGAATAAATATTGTGTTATCAATGTGTTAGTATAAATGTTTCATCTTATAGTGCACTGTAACAACACTGATTGCCAGGTCTTATAATGGTGCTGCTCATGTATGTATGTTGGTGGGCAGTTATTAATATAAGATAACTTATTGTTGAAGTTGACGGTATTTAAACACCTGGCCTTATTCTAATTGCATAAGACGAAAGTTAACTGTACCACACACACAGGTATTTTGTCCTATATGTGGGCATGCTCTGAATTATTTCTTATTATAAATTCTTATATATTAAACACCTGCGCGCGCATTCCTTAGGAAAAAGAGATTAGGTTATAGTTTACGACGTTAGAGGTCGCAGGAGTTTTTGTGTAACACAGGTCGGCAGTGTGGTTGTTGATGCTGGAGGTTATTAAATAGAACAGCGCCAAGCGTGATTTCACTTCATGTATTCCTTACTGTATAGATTATCCAGTGCAAAACTATATGTGTGTGTATGTGTGTGCCGATTTTCTTTAGTTTTCTCGTCAGTAAACTAGGTAGAAAAAGTACTTATCGTAGTTTAAAAAGTGTTGCGAATTATATCGAAAACATTAGTATTGTATATCTATATTAATTCGATTTTCCTAATTCGCTAGTTGCTATTCGTTGATATATTCAGCACGTGTCTTGAATTGAAGTTTTTCAGTCTGAGTTTCGCTTTACGATTTTTACTGGTTGGAATTGCACACACTTCAATACTTCTTTACATAATTAATCAAAATTATTTCAAGCTGCATTTTACTATTGGCTTGAAGTACCTTAAAGGTATATTGTGATTTTTTAAATAATTATTTTCAACATGTTAACATTGTCAGTTTTTGTGTTTTTTGTTAACTATTTGTGATCTGCCCCGGTACGATGTGACTGGTCGTTCAGGTAACATCTAATGTAACATAGAATATATTATGCCCAGGTTAGTTTAGTTTGTTATGCAACGCTAGACTTGCCATCGGCAATTACTCCTAAATCTTGCACTTATTTACCGTTTTGAAATAACTGCTTCTATTAAATTGTCAAGACACTGCAACTTCTGTAATGATGTTGATTGGTGACCGCGAAAAGAAGCTTTTGGAATCTCAAAAAGATCTTTTAGCTGACTGGATTAACCGAACGTTGGGTAAGTACTGTTCTATAAGTGTTTGTAGGTTCACATCTACTAAGTAAATATTCTTAATCTATAAAAATTCAAAATAATTAGTGTATATGAGTAAAAAACGGAATATTATATCTTTTGTCCAATTCTTTCTCAGTTTACTCGAAATTACAATAACATCTTGAAAGTTCTAAGAAGTAAATAAATAAATAATTATTAGCAACGTCTGATAAAAAGTAAACTAACTTTATAGATCAAATATAAAATAGTAATTAAGTAATGAATGAAGCTAATTCTATATAACAAACTGACTAGAAGTGTAAATTCTCATAAATCATTATAGAAATAAATTAAAACCTTTAATGACTAAAAGTATTGATTTATCAGTTGTATGTATTCACGTTTAACAAATTGTTCTGCCTGTAAACCCAATAATATCTCCTTAAGTCCAGCCAGCTTAGGATAATGGGGTTAATCCTAAATCCATATACTAACCTAATAACGCAAACATCTTTACAACTTGTTTGTTTGAAGTTAAGCACAAAGCAACACAATGAATGGGCTAGCTGTGCTCTGCCCACCACGGGTATCGAAACCCGGATTCTAGCGTTATAAGTCCGCAGAAATACCGCTGTGCCACTATTGCGCTCTTTACAACTGTAAAATTTAATGATATTTATAACATTCAAAATTATCTTAAACATTATAACCAATGATATCAATAAAACTAACTTTAAAGAAAAATGAAACGTGCTATTGCTTACAAAACATAAAAAATAGTTGTTTGCTCCGCGTAGGTGGTTGAAATTATTATACACCCTTCCTCACTTTCACTCAAACGTTATTATTCATAATTGATTACACAGAGAATTGCAACGCTTTAATTTATTTGTTTCATGCCTCGAATTTGTGAACAATAAAGTGAAGTAGAGTGAAATATTTTCGCTAAATATTTCTATGAAAAACTGTTCAGTATTTAGTAGCGCTGGAGTGAATGGAGAAAATCTAAACAGTGTGAAGGAAAGGAAGTGTGGTTAAGGTTTTGACCAAATGACCTACAAAAATTTAATGGATATATATTGAATGTTTATACATAAACTTGTGCCATTTTTTCATATTATGTTTGATCTCATTTTTCGTATTTAAATTTTCATCGTTTCCAACATTTAAACGCTATCACGAAAATGCAGTGTAACTTCAGGAAAATATAATTGTATTTTATCAAGAGAATATGTGAAAATGTGTAATCTTAACATGGTCGAATTTGTGGTCTATGAGGATAGCTGGATGTTTTGTTTGTTGTTAAGCGCAGTACTGTACAATGAGTTATCTATGGTATACCGACCATGGTATTGAAATTAGATTTTTAGCTTATCCACCAAAGAGTATAGTTTGATGTAACTTGTATCTTCCAAAAGAGTATAAGATAATCTTTAGTACTTTAGGGACGTAAGATGTGATTTGTATTGTGATAAGCTAGTGACTGGATGTTACTGCATTTTGTTTCCATTAGATATTGACATTATCACTGTAGAAAATTTCATGAATGCCCTTGACAATGGTGTGATCATCTGCAAACTTTCAAAGTTAATTCAGAAGAAAGCAGAAAACTATCGTCAAGAAGGTTTAACCTCAGAGGTTAGTTTCAAGTCTTGTTGCTGTTTTTATATACACCATTATTGTGATAGAGCTATGATGGTGTTATGTATAGTGCGTCAAAGATGCATTACTAAATCGGTAGTATGATGTAAGCCGAAGTGTATGACGGAATTTGAGGTATATCAAACTTTAGCTTTCTAAAAGAGTAGACTCAATATATGGTGTGATAGGCATGTATGGTGTGAATTTTAGTATGAAGAAAGGCTTGGTGTATCAAAATGTAATACATGATGTCTAATATACAAAGGAGCTTCGATACAATCAGTAAGTAGCGTATTAATGAAGAGTGAAGTAATCTCTATGTTAAAGAGAGCGAATATTGTAGAACAAGAATCCTTGTGATTTCTATATATTCAACAAAGTGAACATTAAAACGAAAATTAATCAAGTTTACCACAGTAATGTAATATAACAAACTTTTTTTAAATGTTCATCAAAGTATCATAAAACATGTACCTAATTGCGTGGTATGCATTTGTAGTAAAGTAGGAAAATATGATGTATAGCTTATCATGTAAATGTAATATAACCAGAAGACTGAATTGTATAAATGAACTGGTTGTAAGGACATAATACATATTCATGTGTTATATCAAGAGATCTTGTATTAGGGTATTACTCAGTGGAGTACTGCAAGAGTAAGGCGCAGTCACATGTAGGGTATCAGAAGAGTGAATTATTTGTATTTGTAAAGCAGTAAGGAAATTCTAATGAATTCATTTACAGAAAATTGCGATGCATAAAAATTCAGAGTAGCAAGAGGTGGATGTGATGTATTATTATTATATAGAGACAGAGATTTAGAAAATGAAGATATCGAATAACTATGTTTTGTGTAGCAAAATACTAAGACACCTACAGGTGATATAAACGCATTTATTGGGCCAGAGGATATGATATATTTATGTACATTTAAAGTGTACCGTGAGATCTTTTTGATATTTATAACAGGAATTTGTGCACATGTTCGGAATATCAGAATATTATAATTTTCATTGATCGATGTACCAAGGAATTATAACATAAACATTTGTACGGTATTTGATTAATGAATAGTATGATATAAGTAATATTCAAAGAGTTGAGTACGTTATTTTAAAGCGAGTTTGGAAATGCAAATAAGAAAGTCAAATTACAACCACAGCCGGTATAAAGAAGTCGCTGTAAAACCAAATGTTTCAGATCTACATTTTAACACATTTTTTTAAATTTATTGCTTTTTGGAAGGGTATGTAACACCCTTCAGATCGCAAAAATGTGTGTAGATCGGGGATTTATAATTTTCAAGCAGGGGATGTCCCTTGTATTTAATAGCATTGAAACAATGGACCAAACTGGGAAACCAGGACCACCCAGAAAGAGACTTATAACAAGTCGTATCCTGCCATGGTAAGCAAAGTGCGTCGTCATGCAACAGGTGAGAATCCAAGAATACAAAGACCGATGGCAAAAACTATCTATGTGCTCCAGGCAACTGTACACAACATAATCAAGAGATCTAGAAGAGTGACACATGTCACGTGTACTCATGCTGCTCCCACGATGTATCCGCTCAACCGTCTCATACAATTAAGCAGTTGAAGAGTGAAATGAGTATTCATGTTATTACACACGAAAACATAGTGCCGGAAGCAATGCTTATGGAATTTTATGAGACCAAACTGTTAACATGGGCGCTTTGAAATAGGGAGGAGTTGTGTGCTTCGATCATGCCTTTTGCAATGGGAACTCTGCTTTAGGGTCTGTTGTCAAGGTGCACGGTCGTCAGACAGAGCACGACCGGACGTAGCGACATTGGACTGTAACGACATGTCGAGGCTCCAAAATCGTTTTAATATAACGTACTCAATACTTGTATAATTTGTAAGAATGTAAATATTTCGCTTTACATATTTATTTGTTCCATTTACCTCTGCTATGAGTTACCTTTTAAATTAGGCTATATCAAAGTATTAACATGAACTGCTCTTGAAACTGAAAAGGTAAAATTAATGATATGACAGTGTACTGAAAGTGAAGTTAAATTAACTGACGCTACTGTTTATATAACTTGGAAGTATGATGAAATGAGTATTTATAAAACATCTAATGTCACACGCGCACAAGTATGCATACTCCCACAAAATGTATAGATATTAGTTATAAAATTTTGCTATTTTATAGGTTTGCATTGAGCGTTAGTTTACTGTTTTGGTATTGAATGTAATGTAGTTTTAAAGGTAATATAACTCTAGACTGAATTTTTTCAGGTTGTCCCTACAGTGTCGTTTAAGTGTTGGGAAAACGCACGGTCTGCGTCTTTTTTTGCACGAGAAAATGCTGAAAACTTCCTCAATTGGTGTCGTAGGTTTGGTGTACATGAAGCAGTCTTGTTTGAATCAGAGGGACTAGGTAACTTGAAACTTCGTTCGTGTAATATTTTATGATTATTCAAGTTATTTTTGATATTTTTAACATGTTTATTTTCTAATTCTTAAGGTTTGTGAATTTTTTGTTATTCAAGTCATTTCTGAGATTATTAATGGTGTTATATATTTAATTATTAAGGTTCGAAAAATGTTAAATAACATTGGTTATTTCGTTCTAGTACTACACACTCAACCTCGTACAGTGGTACTATGTCTTCTGGAGTTAGGAAGAATAGCTGCAAAGTTTGGTATTGAACCACCAGGCCTTGTGAAGCTGGAAAAGGAAATAGACGAACGAGAGTCCTCTGGATCAACATTAGCTTCAGACTCGGGATCCATTTCCCCATCTTACTCTCCAGTTCCGATGTCTACAACGGAAGAATTTTCCCCGTCTTTACCTCAAACTCCCGTGTGTACACGAGCAGATTCCCCAATATCTGTGGCGAGTGTTGCCAGCCAAGATTCGACTACAGCGCCCTCACCACCAAGTACACTCCAATTCAACGGAACACCCACAAAACCTAGAACAAAATCTTCAGATTTAGATAAGAAGGTAAAATATGACAAACATTAAATTGTTGTCACAGACCTTAGACAATCAGAAATAACATATACATGTTTATAGTACAATAGAATATCATACCATCACGTATGTTATATATTTTAATGTTAATAACAAAAGTTCAACATTTGTTTTTAACACTTGTTCATGATTTTCAAATAATACAAAGCTGAGATTTGTTGGAAAAAATCTAATATAACAATCATTCAAACAAAGAATATAATAAAATTATCAAAGAATGCATCAAACAAAGAAAATACGCAATGATTTGTTTTATAGTGAAATAATATAAGTATGAAATAGAATAAACAATTTGAATTATTATCCCTTAGTTGCTATGTTATCGATTTTAAAAGTAAATTTGTAGCAGTATGTATTCTAACCGATGATAATTTTATCACCTCACAGGTAATGCAGATTGCTGATGATGTGTTAGAGGACAAAACCCAGATCAAGAGAATTTCTGAAGGTCGCTATAGCATTGCTGGGAAAAATGTTTTCGTCAGAGTAAGTTTAGTAGATTTCAGTAAATTATTTAACTTTCTACGTCATTAGATATTTGGTATAGTTTCTATAAAGTAACACGTGAATATAAATATAAGTAATGATGTGACATACTTTAAATTATAACATTTTTATGTTATAGTTCTGGGTTGCTTGTCTTTATTTTTTTGTCCGGTAGATGGAAGCACGAACAAATAACGATATGTAAAAGAAGTTAAAATGTACTTTTTTATTTTGAGAAGCTGATTAAATAATTTTATTGAACGAGATAAAAATAAGTGTAATAATAAGTAATATTTAAATTAGTTAGTACGTATAAATTATAGGCCAATCTTTAATGCATTTCTCTACTATTGATATATTAGATGAGCAATCGATGTTTACAAGGTCTAATATTCTCAAACTATGGCTGCAAATTTTCAAATAGTCCTTATTTTTCTCAACCGATTACACGCCGGCCATGTAGTCATGGGCGAAAAAAGAAAACAGACCGAGCTAAAGCACAGGAAACTTTACTACGAGACGTCCTAGAACTTTATCATATTAAAAGTCTCAAACATTTGTACGTTACCTTGTGAGGGCTATTAGTTATTTGTCTGTCTGTTATTAAGCACAAAGCCATACAGTGGTCTATTTGTGATGTGCCAACCACGGGTATTACAAGATTTCTTGGACAGAGCTCGTAAACACGCATCTTTCACAAACGAGTCTTCTCCTATCGCAATTTGAACACCAAATTTATTCAAGTTTGAGAGAAATCCAACAATATTCTTGCTACAGGTTATAAGTTTAAAACTTTTACAGAAGACAGGCTATAAGTTTAAAAGTTTTACAGAAAATTACTACCTTTTCAAATATTTCACTTCTATACTTTAATTTCTTAGAATTTGTTTAGTTTAATATTAGACCGCTTTGCTGTATTGGCCATCGTTATTTTTATTTCCCGTTATATTGAGCGCTTGGTATATATAGTAAATATTAGATATATAGCAGTTCCGTATGTGCTATAACATTACGTCAATAGATAAGTTACATAAGGTGTACAGTCAAGAAGTAGGACAGTACCAATGCTGCAGTGCCCGGCATGGCCAGGTGGATAAGGCGCTCGACTCAAAATCTGAGGGTCTCGGGTTCGAATCCGCATCCCACCAAACATGCTCGCCCTTTCAGCCGTGGGGGCGTTATAATGTGACGGTCAATCCCACTATTCGTTGGTAAAAGAGTAGCCTAAGAGTTGGCGGTGGGTGGTGATGACTAGCTGCCTTCCCTCTAGTCTTACCCTGCTAAATTAGGGACGGCTAGCGCAGATAGCCCTCGTGTAGCTTTGCGCGAAATTCCAAAACAAACAAACAAACAAACCAATGCTGCAACTAAAAACCAATGTTTATAAAGATGCAAAATAATAACTAATAAATGAATACCCGAATCTATATTATAAATATAATAGTATTGTATGTCCATGTAACTACTTCGCAGGATGTAGATGGATCTTCACCAAAATTGGTAAAGATGTTCATTAGGTCCATGGGGAGAAACATACAAATTTCAGTTTTGCATTTTGCGGTTTTTATGGGCGTCTTTGCGTTTTTACGGTTTTACCACTACCTCACTTCCAGTAGATGGACCCTCATTAAATTTGATATGGAGGTTCATTCGGTCCATGGAGAGATACATACAAATTTTCAGTTTTGCATTTTGCGTTTTGCGGTTTGGGGCGTTTTTACCACTACTTCGTCCCCTCTTGATGAATCTGCACCAAAGTTGGTATGAAGGTTTGTTAGGTCCATGCGTAGATACATGCAAATTTGCGGTTTCCCATTTTGTGTTTTGTAGTTTTTATAGGCGATTTTGAGTTTTTTACAATCGCACATAAGGGAAGCAACTTTCATTAATCATGATTTGACATAAGTGGACGAGTACTCCAGCTAGTTGTACAATAAATAGCTAGAATATTGTTACTGTAATTAAAATATAACGATGTTAAATATAATATTCATATATAAAGAGATGTGTCTACATAATTACTCTCAATATTAACTATATGGAGCAGGCAATAGGAAGTAATAAATATAGTTAAATCTTCAGTAAATAATAACAATAATAATGTTTAAAAAGGAAATTAAAACAATGCTATATATGAAGAGATGATCAGCAAAAACAAACTTAACATAACTAATGACGTAATGTTATATCATATATATGGGATATTAACTAAATATAATAAGACCTTAAACTAGCGGGAGGTAAAACTAATGGTGTTCAATACACTAAAACGGTTCAATATTAATTATCTAGACCCGACATGGCCAGGTGGTTAGGGTGCTCGACTCGCAATTTGCGGGTCGCGGGTTCGAATCCCCGTCACACCAAACATGCTCGTCATTTCAGCCGTGGGGGCGTTATAATGACTCTCTTAAGGTAGCCAAATGCCTCGTCTTCTAATTAGTGAACTTTGTATATTCAACGCATTGTTTGTTGTGTAAGCATTAACTCTTAATGTTTCTGTTTCTTCTCCAACAGTTTATATATTCTTGCTTAATTCATTATTGTATTTTTCCTCGATGTTTTTCACTGTATGTTGTAAAACAAATTGGCAAAATTCTTGATTTTCTATTCATATTCTCTAAATTACCAGTTTTCACATTGGTTATACTAATCTCAGCCCCTGCAATGGTTTACTCATTCAAGGTTTTTACAGTGACGAATATGATTCTATAATTTTTGCAATACAAGTCATTTATAAATATAAAACTCCGTTATTTAATTGTCTCTCCTGTTTTATAAAACTTACTTAATTGAATAGTTGTTATTTACATACTAAATTGTTACTAGTGATTAAATATATTTAGAAACTGAATTTTAATTGTTTTAGAAGTTCACAGCTTGAAAGGATTATGTTAATTTTTTTTTAGAAATTACAACATCGTAGAATAATATTAGTTCACAAACTTGAAAGAATGATTTTTGTTTTTGAGAATTAAATGGCTTGAGAGACTGATAACATCTGTGCTAGCCTCACTATACAAATTATGATCTCTAATCAAATATGATAAATATGTAAAGTGTAATTTTTAGATTCTCGTTTAATTGGCGTAAATTTATTTTAACAATCACAAAAAAGTAATATGAAGTATATGTGACCGTTAAAATATCTATAATTGTAACGATCCCTCCCCCCAGTGAGTCAGCGGCAAGTTTACAGACTTACAACCTGAAAATCCGAGGTTCGATTCCTCGTGGTAGGCTGAGCACAGCTAGCCTATAATGTATGTTTGAGCTAAAACAAAGATAACTGTATCTTTTCCTTAGGGAAAGGTTATGAGGGAGGCACTCTTAACGAGGATTTTTATCGCTTCCAAGTTTAACGCACACATATCTTCAACGACAAAAACAAACTGAAATTGTTTTTCCGTCTTCAACAGACAATAACATTTTTCAATAAAACTATTCATATCTATAATTGTTACTTTGATTACTGAAATTTCACTTCCTATCTTCAACCTAGTTACTGATAATTCTTACCAAATGTTTAATCATATTCCTCTTGTTTAACAAATAGTAGGTTTTATAGCAAGAAATGAAGCATCTATCTGTTATAATTCGATACATTTTGAGACTAAAAGTTAATTCATGCCTTCTAGCTATTAAAAGGTCGTCATGTGATGGTCCGGGTAGGAGGAGGCTGGGACACCTTGGAGCATTTTTTGTCTCGTCATCACGTGAGTGACCCTTGTCAGGTGAAGATCATTGACAGAAAACCTTCGTGGTCAGACTTTCATTCAAGCCCATCAACGCCATTATCCAACAGTAGTGACTCCGAGAGCTTTCTTCACATCAGAGCCAAGTACAGGAATTCTCTTTCAAACATTTCTGCATCTTCAAAATATAAACAGAAATCACTGGACAGTTAATTACCATTGTCATCAACAGAACAAAGTATTTAGAACACAGAAACTTTCGTACCAAAGTGGTAATTTGATGGTAATTGATACGTTTTAAACACCAACTGATTTGTTTGGTGTCATTTAAAGTCCCAGAAAGAACAAACCTGAATATGTTTAAAAACATATTTGTGAAGGTCCATTTCTGTTTATAGATATATTTAAATAAGATGGTGTGATTGAAAAATATTTCAGTTAAATCTTTTTAATTATGTGAATGGAACGTAGACACTCCAGAAAATAATTTTGCATTTAAAAGTTTTATTTATTTTACGTTGAAATTTAAAGTTATGAATAGGTCATCAAATAAGGTAAGATTTTTAGTGAATGGAAAAGGGTCCAATTTTCTTTCAATTTTAAAAAGTGTGAAGCCTTGATTATTCCAAACATGCTCAACGTGAACGGTGTGAAACTAAGTGAGTTAATTAAGATATAAGGCATTGTTATCAATTAAACAATACCATTGTAGTAGAAGTGAAGTTAACTCTTTAATGTTGGGAAGAGAAGACAAAATATCTTTTGTTTTATGATTCGTAATTTTATGATAGTCCTAAAAATTAACATGTTTCCCATAAATAATAAGAAACTCTAGTCAATATAACTGAGTGCTGGGAACAAAAATTAACTACATAACGTTTGATAGGTTAGATTTATTAATTTTCTTCTTTTCACAGACAGTCGATCTAAGATGTTATCTAGCGTTAAATAATGTCAAGCCATTAATTAATTTTGGTTTTAACTTGTGACGTTAAGACGTAAATGAGGTTTCTATTCTAGTAACTTAGTTTTTATAACAATCATTAATAGCTAAATCTGTATTTTTGATGCTTGGTGTGTGTGTGTGTGTATGTGTTTGATTAGAAGTTTGTTTGCAATATTCAACATTATACCCTAACTCATCCAGAGAAATTGTTTATGGTGGTTGTTTTCATTTAGGAAGAAATACCTTTGATTTCTGTGATTATGTGTATAACATGTGAAAGCGCTAAAGCCTAACTTGCTTCGTATTTTTAGGCTTTCGGTTTATGTAAAGCATTATAGTACAAATTATGAAAAAAGTTTGTTCAGCGTATACTTACACGTATCATAACGAGTCCAATGACTTTTTTTTAAAGACTTTTACTTTTAAAAGGACAAATAATTTATTTCCCCTGATGGTTACATTTAGGTAGTAAAATATGGATATTTAGTTAAATGAATGGAACTTATTTATAAGTATTTGACTATAGGTTCAGCCAGTTATTTTTAAAAAGTTATTTTCAATAGAAAAGAAAAATTACTAAATGTTATCAATTTTTTAAAACAATTAACTACTCAAAGTCTTCCTGTTTTAAATTGTATACCCAAACTCACCATAAAATCTTGATTGTTTTGAAGACGTCTCTAAATTAACCACTTTATTATTATATTGAATTATTTGCTCAATATTTCAACTGGAAAACTTTTTAGAGCTGAAAAAAAAAAGTTTTTTTAATCTCTTTTTTTTTATCTTTAATCACAATACATACATTTTATCTTTGATCTCCTTTCCTTGGGTTTACTTACACGTTAATCTAAAACGTACTTTCCATTTGGTTTATCAAGAAACAGTAATTACAAAATAGAAATGATGAAACATTACCACGAATGGGGAACTTGACGTTTTAATGACGGTATTGTATCTCACCCTGTATATGTAGTTACAATAGCCATAAAAATGCTAAGAACAACTTAGTTGCAACGTGCATTAGTTGGTTAAATATTATATGAGTTCTAAAAGTTTAAAGAAAGGCTTAGACATTTGTTTTTATGAAGGTTTTTCTGAGGACATCTCGTTTGGTCTGAAAGCTGACTGTGGATATTTCTGATGGTCAGACACTTTATTAACCATTTTCAATAAATGATACGTGTAAGAGCCTACCATTTAACAACATAGTGGTCATTGTAACTTTCTTGCAAACGAAAGTAACATTGATATTTGTATCAATAATTACAATGTCAAAAAAATGAAACAATCACCTCGTTTCGACTTTAAACTAAAGAGCAATATACGACGTATTAAATCATACTGAATTATAATGTTCATACCTTGATCAAGTGACAGATGCAGTTAATAGTTGGTAAATAGTGAATTTATTGCATGAGTTAGTTTCATTAGTTTTCTCAAACTCAACTTTTGTTGCAAACCACTGTGACTAGTAACTAATTCAAAAGATTACTGGTGCTCTAAGTTCAAGTCTTTCTCCTTCTCTAAATATGTCAGTTAATAAACCAATAGATCAGAAGTTTGTCTCTCATCAACTGCCAAAAAAAATATATACTAAGTTGGTATAATTATTTATTATATTTAGGAATGTCTTGAAAATTGGGTTTCCCTCTTTCTCCTCAATCAATAAAACAAAAATATCGATATATATATATAATTGTAAAATCCCGGAATCCACTTTTCAAATTAGTGGTGGAAAAACGAAAGGATATCATCAGCATTTTCGAATGTTCACAAAAATGACCAATTGTCATCAAGTTTGACATGGATCGTTTTAAACATAAACACGTAAGACAGCATAACAATTTTATATTTAATACAATTTGGAAAACTACCATGATTTAATTTACATCCTGTATTTTAACATGTACGTACTTTCTATTCGAATGTAGTAATTACACAAGTTTCCTCTGTTTGATGATTAACACATAGATAAATTGAGCTATTACTTAATTTCAATCTTTAAAGTAAACATTTCAGTATTTATCAATATTATTCACGCCTACGTCAATGATTTCATTTCTTGTTTATCCAAGAGATATGACATCATTTTACTTTTGTTATTTACATTTATTTATTTGTACAACATTCAAGAACAGCTTGATGATGTATATATATATATATATGTACATTCTTTTAATCTTTAATTGAGAAATTCACAATGCATACAATAATTACAAGCCACGGCCATTATTCAGTTTTAGTTACTTGTATTTTGCGTTATTTAGTGAGATTAGATCAACGCAGAATTTGTCTATTAACTTTTGAACTATGGAAAAAATAAATTATCACTGTATATCACTAATTTCTACCGGAAACTTAAGAATGTTTTGAATTTAAAACGGAGGTAAAAACTATTTTAAGTAGCTTATCAAAACATAAAAAATCCAGTGTCTTACCATGCTTTTTAATGTTCCAGAAAACATTGAGATTTCAAAAATTCCAGAAATGTCTTAATTATTTCTTCTACGAAAAATATTTCTAGAAATTTTCTGATGAAATGTTTGACAACTGTAACACATTAATAAAATTTTTAAAAACAAACAAGCACAATTTACAAATTAACGGGAGATTTTGACCATAGCCACTAGGTTAAAACTGATGATTTAAGGGCTTAAGGACAGGTGAGAACTTAAACTGATTTGTATTTATTTGCCTGAGAGGTGATGAGGTGGTTATCTGTTCTTCCATTATATATCATGCTGATGTGAAAACAATAACATAAAGCTTATTCTGTGTTGATAGTGATCCTGTAAACGTGTTTTGTTGTGTTAATAAGTTGCTTAAGTGAATAATAAATGTTAGTATTTGTTTTTAACGCAAAGATACACAATGAGCTATCTATGCTTTATCCTTCTCGGAGATTCGATTCCTGGACTTTAAAACTTGACGTTACTGTCTTACTACTTCACACGTGATTGTAACAATTTCATCTCATCACAGATTGATTTTTGTATTTCATTTGTGTATGTTTTATGATATGTGAAAATTTGGAAAGGTCATTTGAAAATAAAATTTTAAATACACCTCTCACTACTCTCTATATTTCAGCCGTACTTTTAGTTATATCATAAATAAGTATAAACAATTTTGATGCTGAACAATTGTAATAAAACAATTATTACTAAGTACAATCTATACAATGATAACACCGTTTAAATTCAGAAACTAATGTCTGGCCATGAAAAGTTTGTTTGTTTTGAATTTCGCTCAAAGCTATACGAGGGCTATCTGCGCTAGTCGTCCCTAATTTAGCAGTGTAAGACTAGAGGGAAGGCAGCTAGTCATCACCACCCACCGCCAACTCTTGGGCTACTCTTTTACCAACGAATAGTGGGATTGACCGCCACATTATAACGCCCCCACGGCTGAAAGGGCGAGCATGTTTGGTGGGACGGGGATTCGAACCCGCGACCCACAGATTGCAAGTCGAGCTCCATAACCACCTGACCATTCCGGGCCGCCATGATAAGTTTCAGCTAGTTCGCTGTACGTAGAAAACTGAAGTAGGTAAACATAGAAGGCATCCTTATTTCCCAAATACAAGCTGGAGGGCGAAAACAGAAACAAATATTTAGTTATACGGTTCCTTTGAATCCTAGATAAACTTTTGTACGCTATCAGACACCACGAAATGTCATTTTTTTTCATGTTTCATTTAATTATAACCTTTAAGTTTCCAATTTAATGGAATGGAGCTTAAACTAAATTCTGATATGTCACTGCAAGTAAACCACAGAACCAGTCTATAGAGATACACAGTAGACGTTTTAGCCATCAACTTCCTCACCAGGGTACTGAAGTGTATAAATTTTTGTCTGACAATTACCATTACTAGTAAAAAAAATCATATATCTTTCGCGATCTTAAATATTTTTATTTCGTTAAGAAAACTACCAGTGATCAGAATAATTTATCTTAATCCGTATGTTAAAATAATTGTTAGCAAATAGTGATTTTTTTCGTGAAACAAGTCTTTTTTTTCACTGTAAACACTATATTCACATGTCTGAGCAATAAACGGCATATCCTAATGGTCTTTGTGTCGTTTGTATCTCGTAGTTTAAGTACTTAATCTTCCTGATGATTGGTTTCTTTATAAAGACTTAAAGAGTCAGCTTTTTATAGTTGTAAATATTATTTAATAAAGAGATAAATTTGCGAAGTTTAACCCACTAAAATGTATAGGAAATAGAAATGAGATCTCGAGACCAAGTCTCGGTCTGGAGAACAAATTATGAGGTCTTGGTCTTGATCTCGACTGCTCGAGTCTCAATCTTGAGATGTCAGGACTCAGTCTTGGTCTCGACACCATCCATGTAAGGTTACAAGTAGCTTCACACACTGATTTGATTTGTTAAACTGTCAGCCTTATGGAAACATGACTAGAGTTCTGAATCCGAATTATGGTTTTGTTTGGTTGGAAGATAATTATCCAGGATTGAAGAATTGAAATCTGCCTTAAGTTATAGTATCATCGATACTATTTTGAAAGAAGCAAATAGTCTTCCTGACGAAGAACTAATTGAAAGGGTAGCCAGAAGCCCTATTGTATGACAGACTGATTAAAGTGAGCACACCCAACTTACACAGAAAACCGCTCGTTCAGTTGCTTTTTACATTATATGCAAAACACTAGCAACAATCTCAAGGACTCAGTCCTTAGCCTAACAACAATCCGTTCTCTTGTCTTAACGGCTTGGGAAAGGCTTCCATCACTGTTAGGACACCATATCATTGGAGAAGTTTGAAAGAAAATGTCATCTTTTTTAAACTTATCCACTCTACGAGAATATATTCTGAATTCATTCAATATAAACAACAGTAGAGAAGGTCTCCAGTCAGGGTGGGGTGTGTGGGGGAGGGCTGTTCATGATCATGAGACTACAGTGAGCAAAAACTTATGTATTAGCCCTGAAGGTTAAAATAAAAGTTCTCTAATAATTATCTTTAGTGTTTTTTTTAATGCAACAACCACTTCAAAAAGAAGGCTCTCATTCTTGATAATGTTCAAATAAACGCCAAACAAAAATAATGGTAATACTTTCAATATTTACTTGACATAATATTAAACACGTATATCCTATTAAATTAATCAATATTGATAATTAACATTTAACAACAATTAGATACATTTCAGTACGAATACAAATTCTGCCATTAGTAAATGTTTATTGAGCATTGATATTTAGTCATCTGTTAGTGCTGAAATTACCTTTTGTTATTGATTAAATTATCCAAATAGAAATATATTTATTGGACATTCTTGTCAAAAAATATATTTAATTTTTGTTAAACATTAAATGAATGTCAATTAAAAATATAATTCATCGTCAGTTGCGTTTAAATTACGCTTTGTTACTTGAACCTCATTGAAAATGGGTTTAATTGTTGTTAAATGCTCATTGAATGTCAGTACTGGTTATTCAGATGTGATATACATATGTAATTCCATGTCAATTGAATATCTACGCCACAAAATTTAAAGCATTACCAAAATATTAGTTCTACATTTCTCTGTGCTGTGTATTCCTAAGTGGACTGAGTGGAAATGTAACAAAATTAAGAAGAGTTTTACAATTCCTAAAATTGTTGTTTTGGAGGTTAATATTGAAATAAATAGTATATTATTCTTAGTGGCCAACGTATAGTCATCTCTGTCAACTAATACATATACACACACACATATATATATATAACTGCAAACAGCTATGTTTAAATACAGCATGAAAGGTCTTAATTAGGTATTTGAAAACAATTAATATGACAAACAAGATATTGCAAGTCTGATAGGATAATGCTTTTTTAAAGGTTGGTCTCTTATAGGAAGGAAAATATTTTCAAAAGAACTTGGTAAGTGTTTCAAAAGCTACTTGATTTGATCTCTCCATAAATGATAACCCCAAAACCAGGCAACATAAAGTTATACTTGTATTATACTTACACCCTAACTTACATTGATCCACATGTGTGGTTATTATAATCCATCGACATACTAAGCTATAATAATCAATATACTAGATTTTGATAAGTCACTTATATACGAAGTTAGGATAATACGCCGGTATGTTAGATTTTGATAAGTCACTTATATACGAAGTTAGGATAATACGCCGGTATGTTAGATTTTGATAAGTCACTTATATACGAAGTTAGGATAATACGCCGGTATGTTAGATTATGAAAATCCATTTACATTGTAAGTTATGATAACCCAGTCGAAATACTGAGTTATAAAAAACCTATAGGCATACTAGGTTTTAATAATAGGTACAGTAGCTTAAATAATTCATCGGCCTACGAGGTTAATTCACTTAACTAACAGAGAATTTTTACTATAATTTGCACATTATTAAAAATATTTATTACCTTTACACATTTAACCCAACCCCAAAGAACCAAATGGCGTCTTTACACTACAATTTATTGAATATTAAAAGTAAGTTCAATCCGGAAACTTCCAAAGAGGGTGGTTTTGGACGTATCTTATCGAGACAAGTTTTCGTTTGTTAATTAATAAAATTGAAAGTGAAATACAGCATCCTCAAGTCTCCATACTAGCTACTACTAAGGTCTACCCGCTGGGAGTAAGTTCAGTATGTATCAATAAAGCCTCATTCTCAGCATCATTAATTCATCAATTGCCAACTTTTTATGCTTCTGCTATCACCTTTTTATCTTTATCTTTTACTTGAGATACAAATGATTTCACCTGCGATTCGGTAGGGAAGGTCGACCCATCACGATAGTCAGCAGTAGGATGAACAGACAGGAACACCTTAAAAGCAGCTACAGGCATAATATTGTACTCGGCTTGCTGAACAATATCTACCAAGATGGTTCTAAACGGTTTCTGAATACCTCTGCGTGTCATTTGGAAACTCCCATGCTTCTTGTTCTTGGCCGTTAAGCTCGGATGCACTGACGGATTTCGGTCACCTTACCACTCCAAATCACTTTTCGCAGCCCCAACGCTAAAAAAGTGCGGGAAATGCCTTCTTTTTAGTCAATAAAATAGTCTAAAAAATTTCAGGTAAAATTAAGAAAAACTGGATTGGGTAGTTTTTTTTCAACAAAGATGTCCCCCACTAGCTCATGAGGGGCTGTTAAATTACATGTCTAAAATGTACACAACTAGTGTATCTCACCTGGCATAGCCCTCTACCGCAAGAACAGAAAAGGATGAAACATTACTCGGCAGACAACAAACATTGCATGTTCCCATTCACCCCCCCCCCCAGTGGCACAGCGGTATGTCTGCGGACTTACAAAGCTAGAATCCGGGTTTCGATACCAGTGGTGGGCAGAGCACAAATAGCCCATTGTGTAGCTTTGTGCTTAATTACAAACAAACAATCCATTCATTCTTTGTTTAACAGTTTGCGCACTAACCACTATTGAAACTGTATGTTATCTGTTTATTTGTTGAATTGTTATATTCCACGACATATTTCAAATAGAAAATTATAACTAAATTAGAGTACGAAAAATAAGTACATACCAGTTATGACGAAAAGACGAAAATTAATGTAGGTCCTTATAAATGTAACCCAATGAAACACTCGCTTTATCACAAAAATCTATCTGATTTTTTTAAACAGATTTCCTGCTTTTTATCACAGAACTATGACAAAATATAAAAAATACTGCCCTACTTACATAATAGTCCTTTCTGACAACACCCAGGAAGAGTACTTTAGTGGGACAATACTGAAATATAAGGTACTGCAAGTGTTCGAACATTAACCAGCAAAATTGATATCACCTAATATTACATTGAATGTACACTTCAAACGGATACTTACTTAATATCATTTAATATTACATTGAATGTGCACTTCAAACGGATACTGACTTAATATCACTTAATATTACATAGAATGTCCACTTTAAACGGATGCTTACCTAATATCACTTAATATTACACTGAATGTCCACTTCAAAGGGGTACTTACCTAATATTGGAATAAACTATCTCTTGCAGAAATAACAGCTTGGACTCTGCGTGACACAGACTCCACGAGTTGCTAGAAGATGTCTTGTTCAGTTGTTATCCATTTTTCGATCAGTATAGTCTGTAGCTGGTTTACAGATCTTAACTGAGAATTGAGAAGAAGGATGCGATTTTCAAGCTCAATCGGATAAAGACACAATAGTTGTTCTGGTCAAGAAAGATTATTCATATAATTGTTGTTCCTTCCAAACCAATTCCGGACAATAGAAGCGCAGCTGAATGTTGCATTATTATCTCGGGAAAGCCCTTGTTCATAAAGGTGGAATCACAAGATCAAAATCCTGTCATAACAAGGTTTCTCACACAATTGTAACACCTCCATTGGCTTGCTCTGTGTGAATAACACAAGTAAGGTCAATGTCTCATGTGATTTACTTAATATTTTATTCTATTATCAGCACAGAGAATGATGAAACGATACTCATTGGACTAAATCACAATGCTTCTAGTCGCTTTTTGTCAACAGTTTACACTCTAGGTGCCAATGAAAACATGACTCTCATATGCGTATTTGAAATAAGAGATTTTAGGTTTGGGTGTCGTCTGGAAAATGACAGTTTTCGCGATCTTGTTCGTATGTTAGAGTTAGAAATAATCAAATTCTGACTGGTGTTGAAGTAACCATTATATATCTGTTACAATTTACATACCTTTCCATCACCTCTGTTTAGTGGTTAATAGTCACAAATATTCTTAGCGACAGACGTATTTTCGATCAGATGACATTGTTGAAAGACCTGGGGATAAATGTCTTTGGACAGTCGGTTTAGGAAATGATCTCTGATAACGACCCTTCTACTAGGTAGGCATACACTATAACAATCCTTTGAAAGGTGGAGAGCTCTTTGTTCTTATTCATTGTCTTGAAGACTAGGAATGATTTGATCATTTCTCTGGATTTATAGGGTTCATTCAATAACATGGCATACCACATGGTCAGTATATTTTAAGCATAATTGGTTGTTTGTTTGTTTATAATTAAGTACAAAGCTATACAATGGTCTACCTGTGCTCTGCACAACACGGGTATCGAAACCAGGATTCTAGCGTTGTAAGTCCGCAGACATACCGCTGTGCCACTTGGGAGGCTTTGAGCATGAACAAATAGATATTGCGTTTTAAAAAATATGGACAGTGGGTAAATATCTTAATAGAATGACCAATTAGAATAAAAAAAGTAATATGATTTGTAAATGAGTCGTAAATCAAAGAACCCATAAAAAGTTGGATAAGTTTTAATAAATAATGCGTAAACAACACCTGTATCTTTCTAGAGCATCCCATTCTTTTTAAATATTCTGTGTAGATTATCCAGGGTTCGTTTTCCCGTGGTGGTCAGAGCTTATATAGGCCATTGTATAGCTCTGCGCTAATAAAACAACAACAACAACGAATCAATAGAAGTTTTTATTTATCTTCTTTTTAAGTTCCAAATAAAATCTTAGCAACCTTGTTTCATATTATTTTTTTTATTCTAATTGGTCATTCTATTAAGAATCAGTGTAACCATGCCATAAACAGATATTGTGTAAATAAACTAATTAATATATATAAGTTCCGGTTAGACGGATGCGTTGATCGAAGATGTTTTTGTAAATATCTTTTACAGAAGACATCAGTACAAAATAGTTTTTAAAATGAGTTATAACTACATATGTTGTGATTAAAACAAAATAAAACCGTGATTGCTATACGTTCTTTATTAAGCACAAAATCTAAAAACTTAATTCTTTCCTGACTATTGCCCTGAGTGTAATTTATTTAAATTGCTTGCATGAGAAGTTTACAGCATAAAGTATTTCAGTAAGTAACTTTGCTATGAATAAGATTTTATAAGTGAAAAATATTAGATTGACCTGTTTTAACAAGAAGATAAAAAACAAACAAAAAACTTATTACAGATGGAAAAAGGATAACAGTATAATATCCTGCCTAAATTGTTTTTCTACGTTTCTTTTAACATTACAGTTTCCGTTTATCGTCTTCATCCGTCTAGGGTGATTAGGGTTACAAACATATCTCGGTATATGATAAACATAAAGCTATCAAAGCAATAGTTCACAAGGGAAAAAAAACTTGTGTCGTAGAGTCATTAAAAAGTCTGACCGGAAATTCCGTGAAACTCGTAGGATTGCGTATCACCTGCAAGTACAAAGATCACCAAGACAAACCTTCATAGTATGGTAATAGGAGGTGTATGGAAGCCTGGATTTTCCGTTTTACACCTTACATAACATTTTACCTCTCAATGTGTATCATACGCATGAAGGCATTAGGAAAAAAAATTCAGATTTCTTATTTTTTATCACCGTTAATGTATGCGTTTGCTCATAAATGTAAAAGTATTCACAATTACTCACACATTCGAAACTTTCTATTATCACGACCAATCACGCTTTACTAAAGCATCATGTGACCGATGAGGTGCTAGATTTCCGGTAAAAAAATAAATTAATAAATACAACAGTTCTGAAAAAGAACGAGTGCACGTGTATCATCCAAAAGAGGGACAAGCATTCATCTCTTAGAAAGGTGAGTAGTAATATTTTTATACAGTTTGTACTTCCTGTTAAGTTTAGTTTTGTTGATATTCTCAAATAATCATGCATTCTTCACCTGGGGTTTTTCTGTTGTAATCTTGAAGAAGAATTATCGCGCTTTATATTTAATATTTCAACGATGAGTAACTTACAAGGCTTGGTTATATAAACGTATTAAATATGTAAAACTTAAAAAAAAGGTCTATATTATTATTATTTTGTGGTTTTTATCGTGGAATATGCACATAAACAGTTAATGTCTAAATAAACAAGTCAACAGATCCGAGCTCAAGTTAATCAAATGTATTGTAAATTTTCACAGATATATATGTATTTGTTTATTTTAAGCGCAAAGCTAAACAATAGACTATCTGCACTCTGTCCATTGTGGGTAATCTAACCTCGGATTTTAGTGTTGTAAGTCCGTAAACTTACCTCTGACTTCCCGAGGGACTACAGAAATATACGTGACCCAAATTGATTCTGCATACATTTTTTATAGAAGACAGCAGTGCATGAAATGATAAAAATTAATCATAACTATATGCGTTGTTAATTTTAACAAGAAAGTTACGATTGCACTGTGTTGTAAGTAATTTAAGATGTCAAACTGATTGAGTTATATTAAGTTTTGTTTTATTGTTTATTGGATCTACATGTTACAAAGCAATGTAGTGTTAGAAACGAGTACTGCTTCAGTATAATTTTGACCTACAATTTTGAAATGTTTGTATTTTGATATATCGTCTAATCATCCATGGTTGGAATATGTTCCACTGAAGACGTTTATAAACTGAAGCCCCTTTATGTTAATTCAAAAATGTAAGCTCAAATCTGTGTTAGTTTCATGTTAAACTAGGGTGA